TGATAAATATAAAAGAAAAGTTCTGTATTTAATACTTGTGTTCTAATTTTTGTTGGGATTTTGTCTTAGGAAGATTAGTCTAACAAATGGATCACGCGCTGTATACATACGTACATTTGTATATACCGTTTATATTTTCATACCGTTTCTTAAATTTGTCAATAATATCAAATAATATTGTTAAATTAAACCAGCATATAATAATTTGATGTTTGATTTATTAGAGAGATTTATTATAGAGAAATTTTTAACGAACGTTTTCAAACAATGTATTTGCATGGAATTTTTAATGTATAGGATCTGTTTCGCGAGAATATTTTTTGAGAAAAGTTCTCAGGAAGTAACAATTCTTTTCATAAAAATTCCACAGGGACAGATATTTTGTTGAACGAAACGTGTAAGTTCGAACAGAATATTTTTCACAACAGATGGTATCCGCAGAGTGGAGTTCAATTGATTAATTCCTATTTCGTATAAAAATTCATAGTTTACTAATAACATAAGAAATAGAAAGTTTAGATTACTTTAGTATCACGTTTACAATAATTTTATGAGAATACGGATTTTATTTTGACAGCGTGTGACACATAAATCGGCCACGCTTTGAAACGTTGTCTCCATTGAATTCGATGCTAGAGTATACATTATTTCAAATCTGGATATTTGAAGGCATCTGTCTTCGGGCAGATGCTTGAAATTTGTCCGTATAATAGTTAAAAATATCCTCAAAATATTCAATTACATTTGTTATTAAAACTATTCTTGTGGCAAAAATCGATTTATTGCAATAAGATTAATTTAAAATTAATAACGTATATCGCTTATATTAATCTCTACGCGAGTCGGAATTTCTACCAAATTGTTGCTCTTCTTCCGACGGTGTAGCTTCTGCCAATGACTACGAATATTTTAGCACAGCAAATTGTGGCCAGATTCGTGATTTCGTGATATTTAAGTCGGAGATATCGTAACAGCGTCAAATTACTGTTGCATGTATCGAACACGAAAATCACATCTGCCCAGAGCACGAGCAAAACGAGAGCAAGGTTTCGAAGAGTACACGATCTTCCCTCCGTTCTTGCAACCGTTCTGGAGATCATTCGTGCTCAGATCCGAAATTTGTCGTGTTTCTCACGTGCCTGCCTCACATTATTTCAGTATTTCGCTGTTGATGAGCTTCTTTCGACGGACAGGCAACAACGAACGGCGCAAACGGACAGGCAACTATCCTTGAATTTTTGCCTGTTTATTTAACCGCCACGTTTCAATGGTTTTGTACTTTTTCTTTTCGTCTTCGATTCTTTGTCGATGAGCCAAGTACCGTTCACGTTTTTCATATTTTTATTGCACTTTCTGCCTTATTTTTTTCTGTTATTGCGAATACTTTACCCTGGAAGGAAGGAATACTTTACCAAGGAAGATACAATTAGAACAATATAATTACAATTTTGTTGGCTCAGAGATTTTTCTGTTACCTGCTCTTTGTTTAAAGAGTTAGTTACGCAACATAAATTTTAATTCATATCAAGAGGCTGTGAATTTCGTGGATATTTATGACAATAATGTACGCGTGAGGTATAAAACAATTTAGAAGAATTCTGAAAAGAGTCATATCTTTAGTAGGAAAGGAAATTGATTTAGAAATTTGTTTAATATACTTTTGACTGGAATACAGAGATCATCAAAAACTGACGTAGAATCAATGTGTTTAATTACAATTTCTGCTATGTGCTTTATATGTAAATATGTGCATTCTAAATTATGGTGCAAGTCATTCCGGAACAAATCATTGCATTAAGAATCGAAATTTCGAAATCTGTTTTTTTTTTGTGAAATCGATGGAGATTGTATTTCTCAGAATACGATCTCAGAAGCCGAACGATCGATACCATCGGGCCTTAACATTGTTTCCAGCCGTATCGCGAGAATAAAATCTTAGATTTATTTCTTTATTTCGTGGTGCGGAGTGCATTTAAACATACGTTGCTTTAATATGCATTCAACATACAAACACTTTGCATTTAACATACGTTATACCACGATTGATTGAAACTTTTAATTATATCGAGCGAAAATCGTTTAACAAAAGGGATTTACATGCACCTTCTGCAATTCTCGGCCGTTACATGTTTCTTTCATCTCCTGCAGTCGCCTCCCTTTCTCCACTATCGCATTTTCTTCACCACAAACGACTGGCACGCAATACCTCAGGTGTACATGCACTGCATTGTGCCGAGAGTTTATGCATGGTATTTGTGTTAAGCACGCGTGCGCGTGCATGTGCATGCACGGCCCTCGAAGACGAGTTTCGGAAGTATCATATCTTCAATCGGCTCCACCCCTCGCCCCCCTCGCCCCGCTGGAACCCCACCCCTTCGTCCTCTTGTAGTTATTCCTTTTATCCTTTGTTGGATTGTGTGCAATTTGTACCTGCATGGTTTGAGACCGTACAGATTCTTTCGATTAAACCAAAGCGTTTGGAATCGAGTTCTCTCTCTGGATTATGCGGCGGCTATATTACTTCACGAACTAAGACCGTCTAAAACCCTTTGTCGGCCTGTAGTATTTAATAAAGATACCTGACACAAGATAAATTAAACGAGCTGTTGCACAGGTGCGTTAATTACGAAATGCTGGAAGTGTCTGAATGAAATTGATCAACGCCATAAAAAGAATGTAGAGAAAAGCGATGATGCTGCAATAGTTATCTTTTTTAACATTTTCTGAGTTATCTGCCCTTAACGGGTTTTCAACGCGCATTACACCGATCGATAGGTGACCAAGAAAGACCCCATTGTGCAAATTGTCAACTTTCTAACTTCCGCGGGAGGGTAGTTTCTTTTAGGGGTAGTTGCTTTTCCGTCCATTTCCGCTACGTCCGTTTCTTAAAATTTTGAAAAAAATCTGGTCTATTTTGGATAACAGACCGCATATTAAAGAATTCTTCAGATTTTTTGGTTCTAAACTGTGGACACAAAAAATAAGAAAACGAAGAAAAACGGAAAATTGCGGATTTCTCGAAAACAAAATTTTTTGTCACCGGCATCTATCGAAAGATATTAACGTTGTCAATTTTTTTCAGATTTTGTTTAGGGGTGGAACAATGTCGCAAAAAATTAAACCGGTTTCCTCCGTAAGTTGTACTTCATTTTGTCCACTCCAGTAAGCATATTATGCAATATTAAACGCTTTTACATTTAAAGAAGCGATTATTCAATCAAGAACACGAAATTGAAGATATGAAATTGTGATATGTGGGATACACCAAATTTTCGTGACGATTACAGCATGGACGGTTGGTGGAGCCAGTAAAGCGGCGAGCTACGAATCTTTTGAATGCGGTCGACGGTCGAATGCCGACGAGGATGGTTTTTTTTCCATAAATTTTGCTCTTTCTCAATTTCTTACTATGTAACTTAAAAAATATTTTCTTAATGTTTTAAAAATATTTTGAGCAAAGGTACAGACGAAAGTAATTTTGGAGCATTTTTTATTTCATCGTTTACCCGAACATGTACATATGTATGTTAATACGACGACACCAGCCGAGTTCGCCTCTTATTGGCCAGTGTTTTTCGTTAATAACTCGTAAACCAAGCTGCGGACTGCATTTGCGCTTAGGAAAAAGATTTTTCATATGACCCCAGGAACCCCTCATTTCCCGATTTTGAGTAACTTTTGGGACACCCTGTATATTGCGGGTATCTGCCCGAGCATTCCCGATTTTTGCTAGCCCATCGCGAACAGCCGGGTACCCATTAATCCCGGGTATCCACACATCCCTATTATACAATAATCGTATCCATCGTTTCAAAATTGAGATGACCAAAAAATAATGAATTATCGAACATTACATTTTCAAGATTGGTATCGGAGGTCCATTTTATCTCTAATAACGATATTACATGGGAAAGCAACAGAAATAAATAGCGATGCATACAAAATTGTCTTCAATTTTGTTACGAGCCGAGGGCTAAGGCAGTCGTGCATGACCGAGGACTCGTTTTGTTGAGAGAATGTAAGAGTTTCTTCAGTGTGGACAAGTCGATGTTTGTTTCACTACCGGGACCCACAGGAAGATCACTTGTGGACAAGCCTACGTTTGTTTCACCGTCGGAACTCACAAGGGTAGGGAAGGTGAGATTTGCAGATGAGTCGACGTTTGTTTCACCGCCACGCCGGGAACTACAAAGATAGGAGAATGTGGTCGAGCCGATGTTTGTTTCATCGCCGGGGCCCACAAGAAGGTATCTTGTAGACGAGCCGACGTTTGTTTCACCGTCGAGATCCACAATGAAGGAAAGTGCGGACGAGCCGGCGTTTGTTTCACAACCGGGACCTATAAGGGGAGGTAAAGTGCACTTGGAGCGGCAAAAGTACACCGTGGTGGACGTGACAGTAGCAACTGGAGTTAACAAGAGGATGTGAATTGAAAGAATTGAATTAACTCGATATACTAAAACCTAAATACATAAATGTATATTAATTTGGTGCGTATGAAATGTCAGATTTTTAAGTGAATATATAAAACTGCAAATCTTTTTTCAAAAGCTGTTTGTTTAATCGAAATATGCTCCATTTGCTTCAATACACTTCTCCCAACGAGATTTCAATGCATAGATGCCTGTCTCAAAGATTTTTTAATCTTTAGGATCAATAAACTCTAATATGGAATTTTTCAGTCTGTCTTCATTTTCATACTGCTTAGTCCGTAGAAACTGTTCTAAATGTTTAAAAAAAATGAAATTCATATTTTAATTCATTTAATTTCGCAATTGTTTTGTACGACGTATGCGACCGAGCGTTGTCGTGGAGAAGTATTGGACCATGCCGATTAACAAGTGATGGGCATATAATTTTCAATTTTTCATGCATTTCATCAATGTACTGGCAGTACTTTTCGGCTGTAATTGTCTCCCACGTGGTTCATTTTGTAGGGAAAAATCACCAGACCGAAAATTTGCAAAATAACGCTGCACTTTTCGATCGTTAACAGTATTCTCCCCAAAAGCCTGGTTTACATCGCGTGTAGCTTTTGCAGCAATGTTACCAAATTTATACTCATATAAAAAAATTACACGAATATCGGTTGAATTCATATCCTTACGAAATTCAAACCAAATAACAAAATGGAACACTTTTGAGAATATTTTCTTTGTTGAAATGTGACTCTGGCAATGGACAGTACGACTATAAACGACTATAAAACGACTAAAACAATAGCATAACGAAAACAGGGAGACAAACGTTCACATGTAAAGAAAATCCGACATTTCATATGCACCAACCTAATAGTATGTTATTCAAATGAATTAGGTCGTTACAAGTGTTGAATGTGAAGTGTTTTCGCGGAGCCTAAGTTCCGTGCCCTCGATCTTGACGCACTGAAATATGCGGGGAAGATCGGAATTAACGGTCTAAGCGCGATTCTACCCGGTACACACGCGAATATAGATTCCAGAATACTGTCCGATGAGAAACGAAATCGTGGCCCTCTTATACTCTCAAAATCAATCCGAATATGGCTGCGGATATGTAGGTACGTGGTCCAGATATCTAGTTTCCCGGAAATGTTGTATAACCTTGTCGCAGTGATTCAAAGAAGGGCGACTGCTTTCCCTAATGAAAGACCCTCTGTACTCACACATGGCTCGTTGGAAGGTTAAGGGTCACGAAGGGGAGAAAAAATCTTGAATTGTATCAGTTCTCCGGTAGTATTAACGTAGAATGTATTAATAATAGTATGTACAATCTATATATTATAATCTTCAATCTTCGACGAAGTAACAATTAGAATTTTTACAACTTCCCGTAGAAAAAGAGGGAAGTACTAAACCATACGTGTTTCCATTATTTTGGACATTAAAACAAATTTAATCCTGCCTCTAACAATTAACTCGTGTGACCAAAAATCGAATCAAGAGAATGTGTTATAAATCATTGACGACAGAAAAAGAAGAGAATAGAGATCAACCGGCATACTCCATAATTGCTTGCGTCAGCCGTTCCCTCGTATTTACATTCTGAAGTTATGCTATGATAGCAGCTAACGATCTACTAATTACATTAGTTAAACCCAACGCCAGAGTCGCTTGTTACACTGTAAATAGCTTGAGAAGAGATACACAGGAGAAGAAGAAAAATGATAATGTTCACACGATTAACTCGTTTGCGATGTTAGAGATGTTGAGTAAAGTCATCAAGTATCTACGAGAGAGCAGTCTTGTCTCGAGTGGGAGAGACCCCTCTCTCATGATCGTTACTCCAAGCGGAACGATTTATTTGCACCCGATGAATGAACGCGACAGCGGCGGCGGTGCCAGGTATCGCCCATGCGATGAAATATTTTCGCTGCGCCGACACTGTTGCGCGCTTTGGCCCGTGAACGTATTCCTCTCTCGTTGCGCTTTATCTCTTCGGATGCGTCTGGGGAAAGAATACGATGCACCCTGAAGAGACAGTGGCTGGCGTGGGCAGCGATCATTTTCACCGTAATTTATACAAATTGGGGTCGAAGTCCTGTATATCAGCGTTGATTTGTCGCACAGAACTTGAGAAATTGCGTGCTCTTTGTTCCTCCGTCGCAGACCTAGACGCACTCTGAATGAAGCAGTTGCTTTAGCAATCGCCGTTCTGCATTCATTATTGAGATTAATATTGATGAGAATATTAAACAATCGAAAATCAGAAGAACGCTGCTCCCAGATAATACTCGTGACCGCCACGCGGTAGTCCGGCAAGCGGTAATATATGGCCAAAAGTCAATTTTTCAACTTTTATATAAACATAAATTTGTGTTTGTAATTTCCAAAGATGATTCACTTCGTATTAGTGTTTGAAAGAAGCGATAGTTAAATAAGTGTTTTAGAATAAATTAGTTATGAAATAGAATGTCATTCGTCAGCATTCTTATAATTTTAGTATCTATGTACATATCAGGTTGGTGCACATGAAATGTTGAATTTTCTTTACATATGAACGTTTGTCTCCCTGTTTTCGTTATGCTATTGTTTTTGGCATAACCTCGTTTATAGTCGTACTGTCCATTGCCAGAGCCACATTTTAACAAAGAAGATATTCTCAAAAGTGTTCCATTTTGTAATTTGGTTTGAATAAGGATATGAATTCAACCGATATTTGTATAATTTTTTTATACGAGTATAAACTTGGTAATAATGCTGCAAAAGCTGCACGCAGTATAAACTAGGCGTTTAGGGAGAATACCGTTAACGATCGAAAAGTGCAGCGTTGGTTTGAAAATTTTCGGTCTGGTGATTTTTCCCTACAAAATGAACCACGTGAAAGACCCGAAACATCTGTGAAAAACGATGCTCCGAAAGCATTGGTGGAAACGAATGTGACTGAAGTAATTCACTACTCGTTCCTTCGAACCGGGGAGACAATTACAGCCGAAAAGTACTGCCGGTACGTTGATGAAATGCATGAAAAATTGAACATTATACGCCCATCGCTTGTTAATCGGCATGGTCCAATACTTCTCCATGACAACGCTCGGCCGCGTACGTCGTACAAAACAATTGCGAAATTTAATGAATTGAAATATGAAATTTTGCAGCACCCAGTTTATTCGTCGAATATTTCGCCAAACGACTTTCATTTTTTTTTTAAACATTTAGAACAGTTTTTTACGGGCTAAACAGTATGAAAATGAAGACAGTCTGACAAATTTTATATCAGAATTGATTGATTCTAAAGATCAGAATTTCTTTAAGAGAGCATCTATGCATTAAAATCTCGTTGGGAAAAGTGTATCGAAGCAAATGGAGCATGTTTTGATTAAATAAACAGCTTTTGAAAAAAGATATGCAGTTGTATATATTCACTTAAAAATCCGACATTTCATACGTACCAACCTAATACTTTTAGAAGTAGAACGCTTTTTATTTTATATTTCGAAATATGAAGAAACTGGATTCGGGTTTCGAGTTTGTCTGATGCGAGTATGTCGCGGAATTGTGTAAACACTTTCGATTGAAGATGACGTCAAAATAAATTGTCATGCATATTCTTCAGGAATGTATGCACATTCTAATCTAAATTAAGTTGTCGGTTCACAGTAATTACCACTAGACCGATTATGAACGTCGATAAATAAAATCTTGCGCGTGACTAAGCAAATTGACGAATACTTTTAATTACTCGTACATTTTTTCATACATTATAATCCACGTACCGAGCGCTGTTAGCCTTATCCGAACATTTTAGACGGCTATAGGCGTGCATTAGAATTTCTTGCCGTCGAGTCACACGTATGGAAATCTACAAGGATCTAACATGCTTGGGCGACTACTATGAAACTGGTTTTTAATAAGCCCGGCGGCATTTAACGGTTAACAGGTTAACGCTGATTAATCCGAATCTGTAATTATTGCCGTACTTGTCCAATTTGTTGATATAAATCAGAAAATAGCGGAAACCGTCGGAAACGAGCGGACGGATGTATAAAACGGAATAAAGTGGTTCGTCGAGTACTAACAATGAAATTTTATGATAAAACTTGGTTTACTGCCCGCTTACGGTTTACGTTGTTCATCCAAATCCCAAAGAGGGACTCGTCGCAAAAAAGTTACGACTTCGTCGGAGCACTGGCACAGTTCACTGAGTGCGACGATGCTATTGACGTTTTACCATTGTTACATAAAAATTCTTTTCAAGCATTCGCGATGCTTAAAGTCCAAGCACGGTCTAACAAATCAAATGTATTCGGCTTCGTGTTCAGTCGTAAACAGCTCTTGCTGTCTACAGATGTATCAATAGAAGACAGCTAACAATTCAATTTTAGCATCCTAAGTGCTGTGTCTGAGACATGCTCGGCGATTCTTTTTCAAATCAAGGAAACTTATTCGATAAAGTTACTCAAGACAATTTGCTGTCTTTGCGAATGAAACTGCTGTCGAACAATTTGTTAAAAAGCTTTCGATTTTTTATTCCTTCATTTTTTAAGACTATTAACCTCTTGTACTGTAACAACGAGTCAGGCTCGTCATGAACATTTCATAAACTCTATTAAATATGAATGTTACGAAAATGATCAAACACCTTTTAAAATGCAATAACTTTTTTCAGACTGTACTAAATGACCGGACTTTTTTCTAGGTGATACAGGGACTAGACCACTAGACAATGACTGTGAAATGGTTTTTCTTAATCTTGCTCTTACTTGGAATGATAAAAAATGTAAAACATCTCGCTTTTTAACTCTTTTTATCTGAGTCTATAACAAATATTTAAAATGTGCCTTTTCTAGATCCCGGTAACTTATATGCATAGTGAAAATTTTTATCGAAATCGGTTAACGCAGAGCCAAGCTACAGGTGTTGAAAGATTTCAAAAACTGTAGATTTCTTACAGTTTTTGGTGAAAAGTGTCAAAAATCGGGACAAAACTGCGATTTTAGCGATCT